GACATTGCCTTTGTTACCTGTTGTATCTACAGTATGTCGTAATTTTCTCAACTGTCCCGCTTTTTGTTGACTTGGCTATGTTTACTGCAGTGAGGAAGCTCTCCAAGCTGCTGGGCTTGCCCACCGAGGAGGACATCCCAGCCTCTCAACTGGAGGCGGCCAAGGAGGCCCCCGGGGCGGCCCCGACCTCGGGGGGAGGCCAAGCCCCCCAGGCACAAACACAAGACACCTCCTCCCCCTCCAAGAAGGCCACCAATAACAAGAAGAAGGCGACCGGGCAGAAGAGGGGCCGAGCTGACGAGCCCTCCCAGCCCGGGAAGAGGCTCGCGCTGGTTCCGGCACAGCCCCTTCCCCTCCAGATGTCCTCAGGGGGCCCCGTCCACCTAGGCGTCGGCTCTGCCGAAGAGCATGCCCTGCAGGCAACTCCCCCGAGCTCGTGGCACTTCCGCCACGTGGCCCCCCTGAAGCCGGGGCAGGCCCCCACGATGCACGATCCCCGGCGTTTCCGCCCGTCCTGGGAGCTCTCCATCAATGACCGAGTCCAATTCCCCGAGGTGGCTCGCCAGTGGGTGACAGGCTCGGTCCTCCCCCGGGACAAGAAGTGGATGGAGCTAGCCTCCCCCTCCGAGCTCCAAGAAGTGTTCTGTACCGCCCAGGCCCAGGTAGGCTTTCCCTCCTCCAGGCCATCCTCGCTTTTAACTCCCAGTTCGGCCGCGCATAATGCTAACTACTTTCTTCTATCAGGCCCATGCCGCTGGAGCTGTCTTGCTGTCCCGCTTCTCCGAGCTATCTCCCGACTTGGAGAAGTTGCAGAAACAGAAACGGGAGGCGGAGCAGAGGCTCACCCAGGCCCTCAAGGAGGCGGACTCCCTCAAGGCCAAGCTCAAGGAAGCGGACTCCCTTGCGGCCAAGTTGGGCAAGGCCGAGAAAGAGCTGGACACAGCCCAAGTTCAGCTCGCCTCCACAAGGTCAGAGCTCGACCAGGAGAAGGCCGGCGTGGCCAAGCTGAGGGAGGACCATGCCATCGAGCTCTCGGGCACCGTCAGCCGGGAGCGTAAGAAGGCCATTCGGGAGTTTATCTCCTCTGACCAGTTCATCCAGGACGTCGCGCTTCTCAACGGGCCCGTCGCCCAAGTCGGCTTCGCGCGAGCCCTGAACAAGGTCAAGGAGCTCGGCCTGCCTGGCTTCGACTTGGCCGCTTTCAAGGAGTACGACCCCCAGGCCGAGGAGAAGGTGGACTGGCTCTTCGAACGGTATTGCAAGAGGCATGCCCTGAAAGAGCTGGTGCGCAGGAAGGACGTTGGGGCCGACCTTGAGGAGCTGCCCCTGGAGGAGGACGGGGACCCGGGCAGAGCTTCGGGGAAGGAGCCGGTAGTCTAGGCGGCCACTCCCAAAACCCTTCACATCCTCTTCAGTAGGCATCGTAATAGACAGGCCGGGCCACAAGCTCGGAAATTTTGTAATAGATAGCCCTTAAAAATATATATATGAAATTCGAAATAGATTCCCTTGCCATTTCCTCCTGCACCCCTTGCACCAATCAAAACTAGGTGCCGACCTCCCGGGTCGAGCACCAGATGCAAGCACCAGATGCATTCCCCCGTTAATCTAATAACTAAATCATTAGAGGGAACTAGGTTGCCGAAAACACGTGCCGACCTCTCGGGTCGAGCAACAAACATTTCGCCAAGGCAATCACGCACGCCGACCTCCTGGGTCGAACGCTTAACGCCCACAATAGCTCACTTGAAGCTTAAACTTTCGGAATCCTTCAAAGTAAATTCACTTGTGCCGACCTCCTGGGCCGAACACTCCCGCGCGTCTTACCCCCCTAGCCCCCCACTAGGACGTTTAGCGAGGGAACGCTAAGTGGGCTAGTGTGAGATTAGAACTCAGAAGACAAACAAGTACACATGACATAATAACTTGAAAGGCTGGCCTTTATTGAATGATGTAACTGGAATTCGAAAGAATCAGACAACTGACAATCCTGGTCTAATCTATGCTACAAACAGTCGCAAATTGGAGAAGTGCCAAGTGCGGGGTACCTCAGATCCATCCATCCTCGCAAGTTTACAGTACCCAGCTCGGTTGGCCTCTAAGACCTGGTACGGCCCTTCCCAGTTAGGGTCAAGCTTGTTGGAGCCATGAGCTCGACTGACCGAGTTCTTCCTCAGGACCAGGTCGTCCGGCTGGTACTGTACGGACCTAACCTTGGCGTTATGATAGCGGGAGATTTGACTTTTGTACTTAGCCATTCGTACCGCTGCTTCCTCACGCCTAGCCTCCAGCGCGTCCAAGTTACATTTCAGCTCTTTCTCGTTGGTCGTCGCAACGAAGTTTTGTGTCCGGGGTGAGGGGAGACCAATCTCCGCGGGCACCACCGCCTCTGCCCCGTAAGTCAGAGAAAAAGGGGTCTCTTGAGTTGCTGTCCGGGGCGTAGTGCGGTAAGCCCAGAGGACACTAGGTAGCTCGTCCAGCCAATTAGACTGGGCTAACTCCAACCTGGTCTTTAACCCTTGCAGAATTGTTCGGTTAACGTTTTCCACCTGCCCATTGGCCTGGGGGTGTCCTACCGAGGTGAAGTGCTGGTTAATCCCTAACTCGGCGCACCAGCTTTTGAAGGGATTCTCTGCAAACTGTCGTCCGTTGTCGGATATCAAGACATGCGGGATCCCGAAGCGGCAGATTACGCTTTTCCAGAAGAACTTCTGAATCGCTCTACCTGAGATAGTGACCAGGGGTTCGGCTTCCATCCATTTCGTGAAGTAGTCGACAGCCACCACTAGGTGCTCGTACCTGCCCGGAGCGCGGGGGAAAGGACCCAGGAGGTCTACTCCCCATTGAGCAAAGGGCCAAGGACTGTGGATGGGGACCATCTCCCGAGTGGGCTGGTGCCGCAGTGGGGCATGCACCTGGCAAGCTCGGCATTTCTGGACCAGTTCCGCGGCATCTCGGAAGACCGTAAGCCAATAGTAGCCCAGGAGAAGGCACTTTTTGGCCAGTACCCTGGACCCGACGTGTGCCGCGCATATCCCTTCGTGGATTTCGCGGAGGACATAATCGCCCTCCTCAGGAGTCACGCACTTTAGCCAGGGGGATAAGTACGACCTCCTGTAGAGGGTTCCCCCAGCGTAGGCGTACTTGGCAGCTCTTAGCTGTATTCGACGAGCTTCGGTCTTGTTCTCTGGGAGGGCGCCCGAGCTGAGGAGGTCGACGAGAGGAGTCATCCAGGTGGCCGAACTGTCTATGGCCAGGACCTGGACCTGGTCGATGCTTTTCTGCTTTACCACCTCTACCAGGACTTCCTTGCTCAGGTGGGCAAACGAGGAAGACGCCAGCTTCGACAGGGCATCTGCCCGCTTGTTCTGTGACCGTGGCACCCGCTCTATTTCGAAGTGGCTGAAAAGCTGTATCACCTCCTGCACTTTAGCCAAATATTTTTTCATGACGTCTTCCTTGGCTTCATACTCCCCGCAAACCTGGAGGACGACGAGCTGGGAGTCGCTCCTGACTTTGATGGCGGTTACACCCATCTGGTGGGCTATCCGCAATCCTGTGAGCAGGGCCTCGTACTCGGCCTCATTGTTGGACGCGGGGAAATCGAATCGGAGAGCGTATGTCAGCTCCTCCCCGGTCGGCGAGATGAGCAGCAGGCCTGCTCCGCTCCCCTCCTTGCTCGAGGCTCCGTCCGCGAACAACACCCAAGGCTCTTCTGGCCCGACCTCCTCATACAGAGTGCTCGGCTCAGTTGTAGACAGACTGGCGCCTTCCGCGAGAAAGTCAGCCAGGGCCTGGGCTTTGATGGCCGTGCGGGGTCGGTAGCCAATATCGTGCTCGGCTAGCTCAACGGCCCACTTAGTCATCCTGCCTGAGACCTCGGGTTTTGTGAGTATCTGCCGAAGAGGCTAGTCGGTCATGAAAACGATGCTGTGGGCCTGGAAATAAGGCCGAAACTTCCTGGCGGCGTGCACCAAAGCCAGGACTAGTTTTTCGGCCGGCGTGTATCGGGTCTCCGGCCCCTGTAGAGCTCGGCTGACATAATATATCGGCCTCTGAGCCCCCCTGTCTTCCCGTACCAGGACCGCGCTAACGGCCTCGTTGCAGGCGGACAAGTACAGGAACAAGGTGTCCCCCTGTTCCGGGGCGGTCAGGGTGGGTAGCTCGGCCAGATACGCCTTGAGGTCGGCGAAGGCCTTCTCGCACTCCTCGGTCCACTGAAAGTCTTTGGGTGCCTTAAGAATCCGGAAGAAGGGGAGCCCCCTCATCGCGGACCGAGAGAGGAATCTATTCAGGGCGGCCATCCTTCCCGTGAGTCGCTGGACCTCCTTCACATTCCGTGGAGGGGCCATGTCCATGATGGCCTGGAGTTTTTCGGGGTTGGCCCGGATCCCCTCTCGGGAGACCAAGAAGCCGAGGAACCGGCCCGACCTAACTCCGAAGGTGCACTTCTTCGGGTTCAACCGCATCCGACTCTCCCGGAGGATGCTCAAGATCTCCCTCAGGTCGGGGACGAGCTGGGGTCCAGCCCGACTCTTGACGATCATGTCGTCCACGTAAACCTCCATGTTCCGGCCGATCTGGTTCTGGAATAGTTTATTGACCATACGCTGGTAGGTAGCTCCAGCGTTCTTCAGCCCGAACGGCATCGTCCGGTAGCAGTAGGTCCCTTCCTCGGTGATGAAGGATGTGTTTTCTCGATCCTCCTCGGCCATCTCTATCTGGTGGTATCCCTTAAAGGCATACAGGAAACACAAAACATCAAAACCAACAGTGGCATCTATTAACCTGTCGATCCTCGGCAAGGGGAAACAGTCCTTTGGGCATGCTTTATTGAGATCTGTGAAGTCAACGCACATCCTCCAGGAGTGGTCCTCCTTTTTTACCAGAACAGGGTTGGCCAACCAGGTCGGGTAGTAGACTTCTATGATGATTTTGGATTCCAGCAGCTTCCCGACCTCCTTCCTAATCACCTCATTCCTCTCGGGAGCGAAGTTTCTCTACTTCTGCTTCACCGGTTTGAAGCGAGGGTCTATGTTAAGGTGGTGCACCGCCAGGTCGGTCGGAATCCCCGGCATGTCCTCTACCGTCCAAGCAAAAACCTGGGCGTACTCCCTTAAGAGGGCCTTCAGGTCGTCATTCTCTTTGGGCGGCAGTGATGCGCCGATGCGGATGGTCTGGTCAGGCCTCCCCTTCCTCAGCGGGAATTCCTCGATCACATCCGGAGTATCCAGCTGCCGCTCCTCCTCCCCCGGGATATAGGGCTCCAAGCTGACCGTCTGGGCGACCACCTTCTCATGCCCTCTGAGCAGGGCGAGGTAACAAGTTCGAGCCGCATCCGGATCTCCCCGTACCTCGGCAATTCCTTCCGGGGTGGGGAATTTGACGCTAAGGTGGAGAGTTGAGGGGATCGCTCGGAGGGCATACAAGGCGGGCCGGCCCAGGAATATGTTGTACGGGGATGGTTGCTTGACCACCACGAAGTTGACGGGGATTGTCCGGCACCTGGGGGCTTGCCCCACCGTGACCATCAGGTTGATCATTCCCTCTGGGTGGACAGGCGGTCCGGTAAAGCCTACCAGAGGTGTCCGCACAGGAGTCAGCTGTCCCTCCTCCAGGCCGAGCTCCTTGAACACCCGATAGAACATAATGTCGACCGCACTCCCTTGGTCGACGTATACCTTTTTCACTCGATAGTTGTTGGTCACGACATCGATGATGATGGCCTCATGGTTCCCAGATGCTAGGGGAACCGCGTCCCTCGGCCCGAAGGTGATCTCCTCGTCCATGCGCAGGCGTTTTAGGGAGTCGTCCCCCTCAGGGGGAGATCGCTTGCTTTTCCGAGCTGCATGGCTGTCCCCCCCTGTGGGACCGCCGGCGATGGTGTTTATCACCCCTGCCAAGTTCTGGGCATCCTGGTCGGGTGAATAACCCCGGGGCGCGCCCCGGCGATCAGGTCGGTCACGGTGCTGACCATCGCCTCTCTCTCCTCGGTAGGCGCGTCCGGGCTCCTGGCCGGGGCGACCTTGCCGCACAAAATGACCCAGGAAACCGCGCTGAACGAGGTCCTCGATCTCCCTCTTTAGGGCCCAACACCCCTCAGTGTCGTGCCCGACGTCCCTGTGGAAGGCACAGTACCGGTCCTGATTCCTCTTATTCCAAGGCGTGCCCATTTTGGGCAGCCGGTCTCCCAGGCCCTCTGTCTCCATGACAGCCAGGATTTGCGCCCTTGGCCGGGTTAGGGGCGTGTATCCTTTTTCAGGGAGCGGCGGTGGAGCGGGGGCCCTATCCTTGGAGAGGCGATCGAAGACGTTCTTCTTGGCTTGGTCGTCCTTAGTTTCAGGGTGGTTTGCCCGTCCTTTCCGGTCCCCAAGCTCCCGATCTGATTCTCGTTTCAGGCGGCCGGCCTCCTCTGCGTTGGCAGCAGCGTGAGCCCGATTCAGGAGCTCTCCCAGATTCTTGGGAGGCTGCTCGACGAGCTTGTAGTAGAGCTCCTCTACCCTTAGCCCGTTCATGAAGGCAGCCATGACCACTTTCTCATCTTTGTCCCTGATCTGCAGGCTTTCTGTGTTGAAGCGCGTCATGAAATTCTTTAGGGACTCGTCCGGCTTCTGCTTGACGGCCATCAAGTGAGCCGCGTTTTTCGAGTAAGTCTTCGAGGAGACGAACTGGGCAGCGAACTGTCTGGCCAGCTCGGTGAAACTCCGGATGGACCCCGGCGCCAGGCCCTGAAACCAGAGCCGTGCCTTTCCCTTAAGAAACATGGGGAAGGTCTTGCAACGGAGTGCGTCCGCGGCGGTCTGCAGACGCATGTGCGTCATGAAGACCGAGAGGTGGTCTTCCGGGTCCGTCGAACCATCGTACAGCTCGATGTTCGGAATCTTGAACCTCCGAGGTAACGGGTAGTCCTCTACCTCTCGGGTAAAGGGCGAGGCTGCGTAGTTATCCTCATACTGTTGGGGCCGCAGGATCTACTCGAGCTCGTCCCGGACGGGCTGCCACTGAGGAGGATCCCGCGGCCGGCTCTGGATGGACCGGACGGGAGATCGCTCCGGTTCGTTCCTCGCGAGCTTCCACGAGGAGGGGTTCCTCAAGCGGTCCCCGGCGGACCGGTCGCGAGAATACCTCTCACTGTCCCCGACCACCGAGGCTCCTGGCTTGGGAGGAGTCCGCGGTCGCTTCCTCCTGGGGGACTGGTCCCGTGACTCGTCCTCTGAGGGGATGAGGAGCGATTCCTTCTCCCTTCCCTTCGCCTTAGAGGTCTGCGCACCGCCAGTCTCACCCCCCTCCTTCGCCTGCCGGATTATATCTTCCAGCATGGGGAGGTTCTCGGTTACAAATTGGTATATCTGCTGCTTCCGTTCCCCCGAAAGGGTCGAGCCCCTGGCGCCTCGGGCTGCCTCGGTCTCCAACCGCCGGGATCCCTCACCGGCCCCGGGGTCGGTGTTGTCCATGGTTCGCTTGGAACGCGTCCTCGCCATCAACACAAATACTCGTACCTTCGAGTTCCCACAGACGGCGCCAACTGAAGAAGCACGGAACTTCCCCTGACCGAGCTGACCTGATAAGCTCGGAGTGCTGATGGAAGAGCCCGTCCCAAGCCTGCAAAACAGAAAGAAGTGGTCTCTCAAAGGGGGCCTCAAGGTGGTCCCCGAGGGTACTCCGACGGTCAAGTTAGTTTTTCGGTGAGGAAAGGAAGGACCTATGGTAAAGCAGTCGGGGTCCAATGCCAATAGAGAGCGTACCTTGTACAGTAGGTATGCGTTACCATTTATACCTGTTGAGTAGTCCGACCTCCGTACGTTCCCGGACTTGCCGTGGATAGCTCCCAGCCCCGCACTGAGGGGGATTCCTCGCGCCCTCTGCGGGGTAGCCCTAGGGAGCCTCCCGGAGCCCTAGCCGCCGTGCGCCCTGGGCTGGCTCCCCGTGGGCCCGGGGTGCAAGCCCCGCTCGGGTCGACCTGGGCTGCCACGTGTACAGGCCCAGGATGGGGCCTCTGCACAAAGGCTTGCAAACGAAGGCAGGAGGAAAATAAAACAGGCCCTTGAACTAAAGTATGCAACAAACATGATCTGTAAACATGCTCGCTTTGAAGAACAAAAGCTTCTGTAGCTTTCTTATGCAAACCAAATATGATTATACGCAGTGCTGGGAATGAAACTTATGGGTTTATCCACCGAGCCCCAATATTATAGCTTTCTACTCTTGTGGTTAGTGTCAAAGCAACCATTTATTCCCAAAAGATCTACTCCAAGAAACTGAACATAAAAGAAAACAGCAAAACTGTGAAGAAAGCATTCTGCAACTGAAACCATTTAGCAGCCCACGTAGCTCAGGAAAATTTGAGACAGAGCTTTAACATGCGAATAAAGAAAGCTTTAACGAAGCTTTAACTAGCGAGTTTGAACTCATTCATGAGTTCATTTCTGCAATGTTTCAGCTTCTATATGCGCAGGAAAACAGCCATGAACTCAAAAGAAACATGCAAGCTTGTCTGCTAACTCCACAAGACTCAAACTATTAACACGCTAAACTCTAATGCAACGTTTGCTGAAGATTCAACAACAGAAAACTCCTGCTGAAAAGATCTACTCCTGAGTTCGCTACTAACTAAAAATCTGTCATCGACTGAGTTCGCTACTAACTAAAAAAAACATGGGGAATCTTCTACACAAAAGGAACTCATGACTCATCATCATAACACAGGACCCGAAGTATGCAGCCCAGATTCGTTCATTGTTTCAAATTTCTGGGTTTTCATCAATTAAAAAAAACGCTGCCAACACACACCCACGATTCGAACCAAGCAAAAAAAAATTATGCAACCTGAAATCTAACCAAGACTCGCCATTTAAACATCATCTTAATCACATACAACATGACGGGCATCTCAAACCACATACTCACAAACAAGACAGTGAATGACACAAAACTTTCGTTTACTAAGCTTGAATCTTCACACAAGTTGTATAAAATCAACAAGAGAAAAGGCTAAGGTCACCTGATGAGTCTAGCGCAGTCCAATGAAGGTGAAGTGTTCTGAGGAAGTCGTATGGATTTGCTGGAACGAAAGCCCAGAAAGCTTCGTCGCTGCAAGGTTCTTCCAGTGATGTTTGTCGCAGGAGAGTTCTCCGTGTGGGTGATGGCCGTCGTAAGACTCTCCCTCGTTCTCACGACCTCTTTTCCTAGCCGCAACCCTCTTAATTCCAGATCCTCTCTCGGCCAGCCCCCTAGCTCTCCTCTTGCTTCTTAGCCACCCTAAAACCTAGTTTCTCTCCTTTCTCTTCCGTTCACTCCATTTCTCTAACCCAAAGCCAGTAACTTTCCTTGCTTTTACCCAGCCGAAACCATTTCTTGCCCTTTTTCAGCTCTCTCATTTTTTCTCTCCGTTTCTTCTTACTAAACCTAGCCGCCGACTACCTCTCAAGACTCTCCACCTCTGCCTCTCTTTTTTTTTTCCTTGCTAGCCGTCCTCTCCTTTTTATTGTTTTTTTGCTCCCCAGCCGCCAACTTCATCCCCCCAGCCGTCATGGTTTTTCTGTTTTCCTTTCTTTTGCTCTTGATCCCCCCTTTATTCTCTCCGAACTATCTCTTTTTTCTATCCTCTCAACCCTGATCTTCACGGCTCCTGATAAATCCCATTTCACCTCTGCAGAGGCCCTATCCTGGGCCTGTACACGTGGCAGCCCAGGTCGACCCGAGCGGGGCTTGCACCCCGGGCCCACGGGGAGCCAGGCCAGGGCTCCGGGAGGCTCCCTACGGCTACCCCGCAGAGGGCGCGAGGAATCCCCCTCAGTGCGGGGCTGGGAGCTATCCACGGCAAGTCCCGGAACGTACGGAGGTCGGACTACTCAACAGGTATAAATGGTAACGCATACCTACTGTACAAGGTACGCTCTCTATTGGCATTGGACCCTGACTGCTTTACCATAGGTCCTTCCTTTGCTCACCGGAAAACTAACTTGACCGTCGGAGTACCCTCGGGGACCACCTCGAGGCCCCCTTTGAGAGACCACTTCTTTCTGTTTTGCAGGCTTGGGACGGGCTCTTCCATCAGCACTCCGAGCTTATCAGGTCAGCTCGGTCAGGGGAAGTTCCGTGCTTCTTCAGTTGGCGCCGTCTGTGGGAACTCGAAGGTACGAGTATTTGTGTTGATGGCGAGGACGCGTTCTAAGCGAACCATGGACAACACCGACCCCGGGGCCGGTGAGGGATCCCGGCGGTTGGAGACCGAGGCAGCCCGAGGCGCCGGGGGCTCGACCCTTTTGGGGGAACGGAAGCAGCAGATATACCAATTTGTAACCGAGAACCTCCCCATGCTGGAAGATATAATCCGGCAGGCGAAGGAGGGGGGTGAGGATGGCGGTGCGCAGACCTCTAAGGCGAAGGGAAGGGAGAAGGAATCGCTCCTCATCCCCTCAGAGGACGAGTCACGGGACCAGCCCCCCAGGAGGAAGCGACCGCGGACTCCTCCCAGGGCCTTTGGTCGGTGGCTCGAGTGATCCCTTAGGTAGCGCTATGGGCGCAGAGCACACCATCCGCCTACCCAAGGCTTTCGATCCTAATCCTACAAGGAGGTGTGGGAAACGCCTACGGAAAAGAAAAAATAGGGTAAATAAGGCTATGCATACACGTATGAAGTGCTTTCTTATTGAGGGGAGGGATTGTACCATAAATGCGGACGGAGGTTCTAGGGTGACTACCCCCCATCCCAAAATGCAATCGCGAAACAAGTAAAAGCAAATAAATAAATGATCCATCCATTCATCACATACATAGTGTGCGAAGAACGATTAGGCACGTGGTGGATACAAAATCCCTAAAAGGAGAAAAAGGGCAAAAAGGGAAAGATGAATGCAATCCTAAACATCCAAATGTAATAGATAAGAAGGTTAAAAAAAGAAAACAATCGACTAAATCAAATGCTCGGACTCTCTAAATCCCCAGTGGAGTCGCCAGCTGTCGCGCCCCATTTTTTACAAGAAAAATAAATAAATTGAAAAGTGAATTTTTGATTGGAAAAATGAATTGTTGATTTAAAAAGAGAATGGGCCTAAATGGGACTTGAAATGCGACGATTTTGACCCAAAATAAGTTTAAAAAGGGTTTTGAAATGAAAATCGGAGTCGCCACTTGGTATTGGGTTAAGGTGTACCAAGTCACCTAAAAAATGAAATTTTTTAAAGAAAAAATAGAAAAAACCCTTTTTAAACGACTCCAAGTCTACGTAAATCAAAGAAAAAGGTTCGGGAGTCACATTTGAAAAGAGGGAAGGCAAGGACGAGGTCCAAGGCACCCTCTCAACCTAGCCAAGGCTAGTTGCGCGATTTAGTCAAGGATTTTCTTATTTTAACCAAAAGATTTATCACATTTGGACGTGCTATATGAATGCAAACCTAGATCTAGGGGGGTATCGGGGGTAAGATTTCTCTTCAAAGCTTGAATGGTGCCAATCACATTAACTGTGATGCCCAAATAACGACTCTTTGGAGAGGTCACGAATAATGCAAAAGTATGAGACTCCAAGAAAAGAAAAGAAATAAAATAATTATAAATATACGTGACCTAAGGGAATGCATCATGTCGGGTACGGGGGACTAATGTTCGTGACTCAATTTTCACTTTTAATAGAGGGAATACGAGCATGCTAAGGCTAAAAAGCCAAACTCGTCCATATCCCATATCCAAGGGGCTATTCCCTAATCTAATCAAGCAAATGAACTAACCTAGTTCTAATGCTTATATGAAATGCAAGTCTAATGCCATGTTTCATACAAAAGGGGCAAGTAATATACATATAAGGGACAAATAT